ATTTCATCAAATCTATTTTTTAATGTGGAGGGGGCTGGGGTCAGCTATTATCCTGAATTAATTAGATGGATTGCTAGCTAGCTTGAACAAAATACTTTTGCCAGAGATGTAGAGAAGTGAAACAGCCATTTCTATTATAATATGAAAGTAATGTTAAAGAAGAAACTCAGGTTAAAATGGTTTTAACCTGGTTTGATTATAGATTTCTTTGTATCAACATAGATAATAATAATTATTATTTTTATCACTATTCATTGCCATGGAAAGAAATTGAGAATCAAAGCAGATGAAAACCATTTTAGCCTAAATTTCTCTGCCACATTTACATTGTTAATGTTAAAGGCTCACTGGTAATTTTTCAGAAAATAACGTGACTACATCTGTATCTTACAACTGTTTCTAATCCTATTGAATTACAGTCAAATGGCTTGTTTAATCTGAGTTCTTTGCATAAATTATGCTGACTCATTCACTGGGCCTTTTTTAGCACCTCAATTAGCTCACAATTTTTAAATTTTGCTAGCCCCTTTGCTTGAATTTTCTTTGTTCTGATCCTCTCACGGAGTTGAACCATGTTAAGTTTATCGAGATCTTCCTCATTGTGATCCAAACCTGCACTACAAGGGCCTGGTTCTTGGTCAGATGGTTCTACAAAAGTTACTTGTGATCATTGCCTCTTTTTTCTAGATTGAACAATGCCTTGATTCCAGTAGCAATCCTGTTTCTTTTCATATTTTCGCTTCTCTCTCTCATTGCCTTGCAATGACAGTTGTCATGATTATATTCCAGAAGTAGAACATTTCTAGCAGCATCCCACTTATTAGACTTCTGAAAAAAAATTTTTTTTTTGCATCATCATTTTTTTCTACACCTTGCCCTGTGAACTGCTTAATTGATGAAAATGTTTTGATGACAAGTGGCACATGGTAGGCCAATGATTGCATATAAGGTGTGACTCATTTCCATATTTTATCCTTTTGTCAGCAAGTGAACAAAACAGATTGATGAATTTCTTCCCCCTTTCTGAGACCTCAAGGTACTTTTCAGCATTTGTGTTGTAATCATTTATGATTTTGTAGAGATCATTGAGGTCAGACCACAGCTGAATTACAACGTCTTTCGTTTCAGGGAAGAGGATATCTTTTGGTTGCAGTTGTGCTGGCAGAAATTCCATCTGCCTTTTCTTTTTATCTGATCCAATTAGACTTGTCCAGTCATAAGATCCACTTCCTTTCCCATCTACATTCTTCTTTTCCCAGATGGAGAAAGGAATTCCAATACCATTTACAGCCTTGACAAGGGACTCTAGGTACACACCTTTCTTCTCTCCCCTTCCCTTGTTGAGGTCAGCATTGCTGTTCCTTTCCATAACTTCAGTTATTAAGTTTTCAAGTAGGCGGTCTGTTTTTCTCATCATCAGGTGGAGTTCATCCAAAAAGGGGTAGCATAGATTTAATATGGGACAGAGTCCTTTTTGTTTCCATAGAGGTAGTGCTCAATTGGTTTTTCAGTGTTCCATCTATACAACTTGTGAATAAAGCACCAAAGACAAGCATAAGTAGATGAGGCTCGACTAAGACCCATGGCCATGAGAAGAAACTTATAATCTCCTCCCAGAAACATTTCAATTTTCACTTCTTTCCCATAAACCTCAAATGAGCCAGCTTACAAAGCAGTGTTGATTTCATCGATGGCTGATCTGAAAGAGTTTACCATGGTGACATACTTTTCTGGGCCATTTACAACTGCTATGGTCCTGTTGCCTTTAGAGGACATCACCTTTTCACCAGTTTGAAGAAGACAAAAGGAGAGTCATAAAATTAGTGCTCCTGGACATTTTTGCCCCATCACCACTGATCTTGACTTTCACAGGTTCATTTAGGTCATAATATGGATCATTTTTAAAAGTTCTCTCACATGCTCAATCAATGTCTCACAGAAAGATATCTGGGCACCAGGGTACTGGCATGGAATTGTGCAAATCTTGTTAAGTTAATTTCGCTTTTGTTTGACTAAATAAGACTTTGGGAGGTCATCACACATGGTAAGTTCATGATAAAGTTCATCACTTGCACAGAATTTATCTAAGAGAAAGAGGACTTGTTCCAGTTTTTCATCTTCCTCATCTGTATGGCTGGTTGGTGGGGGGTGTGGCAGACTTCTCATTGTCAAAATGAAGCATGTATGGTGTGCCATGTTTGGCATCCACACCTTTGAGGCAACTCAATTCCAATCCATACGACTTCACGAACCAAAGTGCCACTTCTACTCTACTTTTTAGTACTTTTAGTTTCCTGGACCTCTGCCTTTGGCAAAGATCACCCAGCTTCGTCCCAGTGCACCCTACCTCCCCAGCCTCGCCTTGAGCTTATTTATGTGCTGAAACAACTCATTGTTTAGTCCTCTTAACTAAGCTATTTCCTCATCTTTTTCCTACAGGTGTTTGTCCATTTCTTTCAGGGCTTCATTCATTTCTCTCACTAGTTCTTTCTTTTGATCTTTCAGGTCTTCAAGTTTTTCCTTCCACTCCTGGATCTCTTGTCTTGAGCCCATAAGTTCTTCTTTAACACCTTTGATACAAGTTCATGTTTAAAAATGCTAACTGTATGACTTTTTTGATAGAGTTGATTCCTTTCTCAACTATTCTTAGCATTTCTGTACTTGCTTCTTACTGACCCGGCTTGTTTTGACAAGTTGTTATTGATTTGTTGCCCTGACTCTTGGCTTATTCAGGTGCAATGCCCGGGGATCAAATCATTAACAAGAGTGATGTAGTTAGAGTGTTCACTTCAGGATTGCTCTTGTCGATGTTGCCATGCCATTCTTTTAGGAGAAAATACGGTCTTTTGCCTGACAAGGCAATCTGAGATTCGTCAACATCCTTTCAGCTGTGATAATTTTTTGCCACAAAGATTAGCCACAGCTTTTTGTTACTCACTATCGCTTAATAAATCAGACATAGTTTGAACTAAAAAAGGAGTAAACAAATGCACTGAAGATGCTATAGCAATGTCATAATATTTAAATATTAATTTCCAAGCGGAAAATACAATCACACACACGACACTGACTGGGTATTGTAAACAGTAGACTGCTGTTTTTAAGACCAGCATATTTCCACATGAAAATGCCTCGCTATCGCTACAATCCTAAAATGGTTTCCAAAACAACGAAGGAAAAGTGCCGATACAGCGGATGTCTTCTATATTTTTTGCATTGTTATGACGTGTCTCTTCATAGGAACATGGTGGATACATAACTGAATTATCACTCTTCTTATGCCATGATTTGTCTGAACTTTTTAGTCAATCTACAGAAAATTTCTGGTGGTTAATGAAACTTTGTTCTTAGACAATGATGTGGAGAGCGATGGAAGATGAATTCATTCAAGGTTTGATGCCCAAATTTGAGCATTCCTCAGGTAATATTTGACCACATTTAAGAACTTATGAGACATTTTGGGTCTTTTAGGTCAAATCTTGAATCACCATTTTTCCAAACTTTTCTTTTAAAAATCAACCACCGGACAATATTTTCAGTATCACAAAGATATCCTCTTTGTGTTAGGACCGATGGAAGATGGTCATCCTCGTTTACAGATCAGGTCATCCTCTTTTACAGATCAGTAATTCAGATATATATTTTTTATCCTAGAGGGATTAACCTTGATGTCCGTGAAACAGTGCTCGATACAAATAGTAGAGCGGGTATAATGTGTGGTAGGTGAAAAAAACAACTACCAGACATTTTTTATCCTATACATTTCTTTGTAATTGTTTCTCCGCCATCTTTAAAGGTATGGTGAGGTGAAATCTGATCGATGTCTCGGATTTCTGGTAACGAGTTAAGATACAACATTTATTTAAACTTTGCATTGACAAACTTAACAGCCTGAGGATAAACTTCACATTATTTTCCAGCCAACCATACGCTATCAACGCAAAACTGAACATTCAATTATATTTCAAAATTAAAAACCTCTGGAAAATGACTTAACTTTTTCGTTTTATAAAGCCAAAACATGCCGAATTTACCCTGTTTCTAAAAAGACTTAGAAAAAAAAAGAACATTTTGAAAACAAAGACTACTAGTCTCAGCAGAATTCTATTGTTCTTGCTATTGTTTTCATTGAACAAAGAATGAATGCATAATTAACGTATCGGGTTATATGGAACTCTTGCCATCAACTACTGTAACAGAAAAAAGGACCCCATTACAACAAGAACTTAGCCTTATTGAAGCTCGGAGTTCAACCTTTGCTTCAGCGGAATGGACATTCGCATGTTGGAAAGACCTTTGTTTGGTGGCCGTAATTTTGAGTGAGAGGATGGCGCTCGATTAAAAGTACAGAGCCATGTGCGGGAAAAGAGCACACGACAAAGTGATGGTTTGGGACTCTGCTTAGCATGCTCTAGAGATGCTACAAGCGGACTTAATTTAACAATTTGATCTCCTCTTGAAGCTTTGCATGTGATGTGTGCCTGTGAGTAATTCTCTCTCCACCTTGAGCAAATTTAGCAGGGCTCAAACACACTCCAAGCACACGTGGGGCAGAGCCCCATACCCATGGAATATGGTCAACCTTGTTTGAGTGGCCGAGCATACGTACGTAGGTACGTGCCTTCAGATTGCACGGGTAGGGCAGGGGAGACTATCAAAACGAAGGGAGGGGTGTCTCAGACCAGTCTTGCCAAATGCACATCTTTCATGTTATCATTAATATTAAGAATTTGAGAGCTCAGCTTTTAGGCTTGGCTAAATCTATATATTAGAAGTTTTCCGTTTCCTAAACAAAGCCTTCAAGGAGCGCCATTTTTAAATCTCAGAAAAGGATCGTTGAGCGCATGCTTAGTCTTATGGCATGCTGTCCTACGGTGAGGCATGCTGTCCTACGGTGAGCGTTATTGTCCATAAATTACGCCACTTAACTTTCGGGCGTTCAAAAACGTAGCAAACGCATTAAAAAGAAAACAAACTTGAAGTAAGAACTAAACGCTTACCCAGTGAAAGCTCAAACATAAGTAAGCTCCGTGGTTCGCTTGTCAAACACCACACACGTCACACGTACTCTGAAGTCAGCTTCAAGTCACTTTCAAGTGGCTTCCAAATACCTGCAAAGAACGCTCAAGTTACACACTGACAAGCAAAACAGATACTTGTACAGCTAAATTTCAATTGAATAAAACAAACTGGGCCAAACTTCAGAATACCCGGCCACTTATTTACAAGTCATTAAATAAGAATAGCGTCTAGTGTGTTATGCCTCATTCTTTAAAGCCTCCCGACACATGTAAATGAGGTGGACGGGTATTCTGAAGTTGCTCCAAACTCTTCAACCTGCTGAGGGTCCAGAGATAATTACCTTCTTCTTGCCCCGCTGCACCTTACAACTGCTTTCCCGCCCGTTTGGCAACAGATTTTGATGGTACAACGTGACAACGTAACAAAACGTACAAGTCCATGTGACAAGGGACTGAGAGACCGCGCCAAATAACTTGCTCGTTTCAGCCTTGGGTATGAGTTCAAGTTCAAGATGGCGGATGCCATGGGAGTTTCTTCTCTGTTCTGTTTAGCATTTGCTTCTCGGCTTTTTCTCATCTATAGCCCGGTTAAAGATTGGCTTACTAACCGAATAGAGTTATCTACACCACTAACTGCCTGGAACAGAGGTATGTTCGGCTCCTAAAAGAAATCTGTGTTTCATTTTAGTGTTAAATATTGAATTTGTCTGACGATCAAGAATCAATACGGACGTTTATTTCACTACGTTTGGCGAGTAACAATGTATTCGATAGGTAGGAAGACGGGTAGGCTGCGAAATGTAATTAAAATCTTATCGTTTAATCAATTTTTTTTCAAACGTTTCCATAAATGCTTTATTTTTCAGTTCAAGAAGGCCTTTCCCTAATAAATCATGGGATTTCACCCTACTCCGGGGATGTTGTGCATGAGGTAAAATTTTCAGCTATCACTATCGGAGCCAGATTTGAGATGTATACTATTTTGCAAGTATTCTAGATCTTTAAGCTAAATATGCTCCATTTAAGATCTCAAAAGATTTTGGTATAACCTCATACTAAGTTATAAATTACTATGGCAAATCTTGCTATAAGATTTTATCAGAGACTTATGAATGTTTAAGAACATCTGGCTTCATTATAAGATTGCTTGAAAACTCAGTGGTGATCTTATTGTGTTCTTTCAGTCCGTAGTGAGGTACCACTCCCTGTAGTGCGTACAGAGCCACCTTAAACCAAAGTGCACTGAACAACAATCAGCAAAAAAAAATTAACTTGCACTTTCCATACCCTCCAGATTGTGTGTAGCTTATCTCTCCTCCAAAGGAATGAAATTCAGATTCATGAATTTTTTCTCTGATGAAAACTCCAGTTGATTGACTAAATACAGCATATGATTGCTTTTTCTATAAGACCCCTCTAGTGTTGGCAATATTCCTTGGATTGCAGCAGATATCAGAAGTCTTATTTCCACTTCTGTTTGTGGTATGTTCTATTGCTTGTATTCCTTATGCATCAGACAAATGATTCAATGTTGTGCTATATAGATAACACACCAAATGTATGAAGGGTTTCACCCTTACGGAATTCGAAAAACTATTTACACAAAGGAAATCAGGCCACAGAAGAAAGGATGACATTATTCTTCCCAGACCTGAAACAAACTTTATCAGGAACACCATAAGTTATAGAGGAGCAATTGCATAGAATAGTTTAACAAACAAGGAAACAACGGCTAAAACCTTGAAAGATTTTAAATGCTGTCTTCAGAAATTTGACACAGATAAAATAAATTTTGAACCGATTTTAGCCATAACTGAAAACAGAGATACCGATTACAAATATTTCTGATAGGTTTTAGCTTTTAAGTCTTAATTCTAAATTGTACATATGTTTAAGTATTTTATTTTTCATAACTATTGTTTGCACGACCCCACCAGCAATGCTGATTTTACCTATCGTGCTAAAATAAAGTTCTCACTCACTCACCCATCGGCAAATGAGACTGTCTTTCTCCATCAGCTGTTTGTAGGATAATGTATTAGGAGGTAAAAGGTTAATCTTGGAAATCTTGGGTCTGAACACCCCCCTTACAAGTCTATTTCTGCATAAGATCTCATTTAGTAATTCTCCTTACTGTCTGCTATACAATTCACATGATGTTAGTTTGGAAAATTTGTTATTGGATCAAGTAAGAATCCCTCAGTGATGTTTTTCTTTATTGTTATCACTTGTCTGCTTGATGTGGTAAGGATAAATTCTGTTTTTTGTGGAAATTCATGGGAGTTAAGAGGTTAATGTTCTTTGTGGTAGTTGAAATTCTTTCTTGATTTGAGAATTTTGAACTGGTAATAAGTAGTTCTTATTAACCAAGCGGGAAGTCTGCATGGGAGAATCTTGACCAAGGTCGCCAGTACAGACCAAATGCAGTGAGGTCTGTACCAGCAACCAAGGTCAAGATTCTCCCATACAGACCAACCTAGCTCGGTTGATAAGACGTTTATTTTGTGGCTGTGTCTTATATGCCAATTTTTTATATTCTATGTACCTTTTTGTCTAGACCGGTCTAGATGCGGGTCTATATAGGAAAATCTAGACCACTTTCAATATTGATTTCAGCCAATTAAATTCGTGAATTCAGTAGTTCCCAGTCCTTGTGAGATGCAGCCATATAATAATAATTGATATTATGATCATTTCCATCATTAGTATTGTTATGATGAATATATGAAGTTCATATATTTTGAACTGCGGTTATAGATATGTATGATGCACGATCCTCGCAGTAGAGAGCGCTATTTATGCAATAGCGAAAATCAGACCTGAAAAAAATCAGGCCTGTATGGGATTCAAACCACTGACCTCTGCGATACTAGTGCAGCGCTCTACCAATTGAGCTAACAAGCCAACTGGGAGCAGGCCGTTAAGTTGATTTGTAATAAACCCGTGATGATAAATCAGATATGATGAATATATGAAGTTCATATATTTTGAACTGCGGTTATAGATATGTATGATGCACGATCCTCGCAGTAGAGAGCGCTATTTATGCAATAGCGAAAATCAGACCTGAAAAAAATCAGGCATGATATTTTTCAGGTCTGATTTTCGCTATTGCATAAATAGCACTCTCTACTGCAAGGATCGTGCATCATACGTATGAGTATTGTTGTTGTGTGTTTTCTTTTACATGACTTGTTGTGTTTGACTTTATTTCAGGTGGGTGATCTGCTGGTTGGATGGTTACTTTACAAACTTGCCAGTCTTCACTGCCAAATGCTGGTATTGTGACAAAAATGTAGCATATAATTATATAGTTGAATATATGTTTTAGTTTGAATTAAAGTACAGTTCAAAATGATTTTAAAATAATCACAATGACCTATCTCACCATGGAGTCCTTTTAGCCGACTAGTAGAGTATTATAGTGCAAAAGTCAAAGATGTAAGATGTGATTCTTCTTGGGGACTATGGATTTTTTCATTTCCCAAACTTGTATCAAGACAAAAAGACATATTTCTGTTTTACTTTGGCATCCTTAAAATCAACCACCTTTGTAAGTTCAAAATCATTTAACCTCGAATGATTTTAAACTGCAAGAAATATTTAGAATTTGTTATGATCACATCTATAGACTGGTCCTTTGTCCTTATATTTTATGACAAATTTGATTCTAAAGTGTTGCCTGTAGTGGAGAGAGAGAAAAATTTGAGAACTCATGGAAAGATTTTCCAAACAAATACAAGGACTAGCTACAGACCTAGCCCACATGTAATGGCCAGACAGAAATCAAACCCAGGCCACAGCAATGATATCAAGTACTATACCCACCCAACCATTTTTACTGCCCTCACTGGGATTTTTTTATATTTGAAGCAGACAGATGTTGCTGATAAGTTGATTGTGAGAGTTTGTAGGTAATATCTGAAGTACCTGGTGAAACCCTTGGGAAAACTTATTTACAACTCTGGTTGAGCCCTTATTTTTTTGTTTCTACTGCCAAATTCTGGTTTTGACCTTGTATTGTTTCTCTTTTTAGCTCAAAGAGCAAGCATTGAATCTAAAATCTTATGCAAAGTCTGTAGAACCAATTCTACTCAAAGAGGAAGCTCTACAAAATGTGCCTTTGCTAGTTTCATCTATGTGAGTTTTGTCCCTTTTTTTGTTGGATAAATCTTACGAACTAGTACCTGTTTCTGTTTAAGATGTAGTGCTTTTTTGAGGAAAAGGCAAGGTTTTCATGTTCAGTTCACTATGCTCTATCTTGAGACATGCCGGTGTTAGTTTTGCTATATTCCCTTTCTTGCAGATATTTGTTGAATCCATATAGTATAGGTTCCTGTGTTGCACATACAACTGTAGTGTTTACTAACTTGGCAGTTGGAACAGCACTTTTATTCTCTCTTAGAGGTATGTTCATTCCAGTTCAGGCTGTTTCACTCCCAAGTATAACAAAAAAAAGGAATTTCTTTGTACAAGATCCATACATTCTTGATTTAACATAATTACATTCAGTTGAGTGCATGACTTATCAAGCAAGAAAGGAATCTGGAAAATGGTTTTTGGGTGTTATTTGTTCCCTTTTTCTTTTTTACATTTCATTTAGAATTGAAAATCAACCTAAGTGTTCATTGTTTAACGTCTCCCCCAAATTTCAGTCAATAATGTAGCAAATAGCATTGTTACACTTGATGAAATGATAAAATTATCTTTTTAGTAACTGATTACCAGTAACTAAAAAATACATAGCAGCCAGAGGCGAGAATCACAAAACAATTGCATCTCAGGAGTTAAAGATTGATAAGCCTTGGACTGAGTTTGTTCATTTATTTTTTTGTTTTTTGTTTTTATTTATACTACAGTTATACTAATTCTCTTTTCAGGGAATACTATGCTAAGTACACTTGGTGTTGCTGCTGGAACATATCACTCCTTGTATCCAATCACGCTATTGGCACCTGTAGTTCTCACATTAATGAAGGTAAACCTGAAAAATAATCAAACTTGTGTTTGCTTTTCTTATCATTTGTAAACAAAAGCATTGAATTTAGGGGTAGGGTCCAGGGGATTAAGAACCATTAGACCTGTGAGTATTTTCACCAGCTGTGTAAACCCAAATTCTCCTTACAACAGGATTGCATGTTACATCTTAACTTGGAAGTATTTAACCTGTTAACTCTCATGAGTGACTAAGGCAGAATTTCTCCTAACAATGTCGATTTGATTTGATTTATGATTTACAAGATTTGCCAAGAGGCAGGGACACCGCAACAGCTTTGCACCAATTACTGCGGTCCCAGTAACCCACCCATCCCACCCCAGGGAGGACATCCATCGCATAGTAATCTCGTGCGTGGGAAATTAATGTCTCCTACCCCTAACCGTGCGCCAGGCCTTTAAAAACAAGCAATTTTAACCACAGAGTTTATAAGTAATACAAGATCTGAATTTTTGTCTCCAGGTCAGTTCCATTGACGTTCAATTCAACAAGAAGACCATCATATTTGTTAGTCAAGTTATTGGTTCTTTTCTCGTGTGGACATTGCTTCTCCTTGGCATGTCATACCAACTGTTTAATTCTTGGGATTTCCTTCTGGCTACACATGGTTTTATGTGAGTGTCTTATGTTTTTGCATTTCTCATCACAATTTAAAAATAAAAAATTGTGATATTTATTATCACAATTTTGTAAAAGCATATTTAATTTAAAAATTTTGTTGACAAAGTTTTGACATTTGGCTAACATCATTATCAAGTCAAAGAGTGAAAGATAAATCTTAAATACTAAAAAGACAATAGGTAATGGAATGTTCTTTTAAAATAAACAGTTTTACAAAACTCAAAGAGTTTAAAACAAAGACTTTATGCATGAAATTAATACTGTAGTCTGAAGCAAGGCTTGGTAAATTGACCAGATCGTTTAGTTTTATCAACTGAGTTAATAGTGTAAATTGGTGGCCATAAAGAATTTATAGAGTTAATGTTTGGAGTGTTAGCCCTTCATCATTCACTCTGATCAAGGGAGCACGGCAGAATTTATTTTCCCTTGATTTGGGGCGTCTTTCCCATATTTCAAGTTGCTATGTTCTTTTCTGCTTTTATCTGCTGACTGCTATGTTGAGCTGCAAAGGGGCAACTTTCCTAGGTTAGTACGAAGACCTCTTTTACAATATTCTCACTGCTTCGCAGCTCACCTCGCCCCTTTGGAGCTCATTCATACTAACCTCAGAAAGTCGCCGCTTCGTGGCTCAACATAGCAGTCAGCGGATAAAAGGAGAAAAGCAACATGGCAACTCGAAATACGGGAAAGACGCCGGAAATCAAGGGAAAATAAATTCTGCTGTGCTCCCTTGATAAAACCAAATTATCTTGTAATACCCTTCATAGTTGCAGCACCACAGTTTCAAAAACTTACCCCTTTATTCGCTTGATAAACTGACTACCAGGCGGTTAAAAATAAAGACCTTCAGGTTAAGTTTTGTAGTCTACAGAGTTCAAAAAGTCAATATTGACATTTTGAAAACCTTGTGCCCTGGGTTGGCCTTATTGGCTTTTAAACAAGCAAACAACAGATACAATTTTTACAGAACATTGTAACTGACTATGACATAAAGCTGCCTCTGAAGCAAAATCTTAATTTGTGTTATTTAACCATTAGTCTACAGGTGTCTGATCTCACGCCCAACATGGGTCTCTTCTGGTACTTCTTCACTGAGATGTTTGAACATTTTAGAATTTTCTTTTTGTGGGTGTTTCAACTGAATGCCTTCTTCTACTGCATCCCCTTGACAATCAAATTGAGGTAACAGTATTTAAACCATGTAATTGTGCCTGTCAGTAGAAACATACTTTTGACTGTGGTTTTGAGAACAGCAACAGCAGGGGCAAATCAGTTCTCATCCTGAGGTTACCAATTTTTATGCATGCAGCCAATTGGTTAATCCTTCTATATCCTCCTATATGGATCTTCTTTTCTTATCAGGCTCATTCTCAAAGTTTTACCACCTTTTTGTAAGCATAAACAGAGATTATTTCTTAATAATTAATCTATGTTTGTTCTTTTAGGAATAGCCCAACATTCCTTGCCTGTATGCTTTGTTCTGTGATGGCCGTCATGAAGTCTTATCCAGGGCTAGGTGATGCTGCTTTACCGTTGGCCCTCTTGGCACTGTGGGTTCACATATTTCCATGTAAGCGTGTTGTTCTGTCCTTGATTTTTTGTTTTCCTTTATCACATCACCATTGGTGTGACTGGTCAGCAAATCGCGAGATATTTCTGTGCTATTATATTTTGGTGGGCAAACATGATCGATTGACCCTATTACATACTTTTTGAGGAAAAATTGCATAGTTGTGGCTATGATACAAAGAAAGTCCTTGGAGTATTGTTAGCTACATATGCTAACAAATTTTCACAAATTCTGCCTTTCACACTAGTGTGCATGCAACGATTGATTTGTCAGAAATAATCTACCTTTGACTTTTGACCTTTGACCTCTAAGAGTGACTAACACCTAAATTCTCTTTACCTTATCAGCCCTAAATCACGCCTAAGGTCAAGGGAATAAAGAAAATGATCACCACTCGAAGAAGCTCTTGATTGTTAAACAAATTCTCATTGTCAACACCTAAGGAAATGTATAGAAAACAGTTTGGAGAAAATGCATGTTGATGGTAGTGTGTAGGGGATTAACAAGTTCTGGCTGAAAGACAATTAAATGAAACGAACATGTCCTCTGCCCTCTTGAATCTCATACAGCAGTTCAGGCTACTTGATAAGTATTTTACAATTCTTGTMAATACTTCTGATGTTTTCTTCGCTTTTCTGCGACGCGAGTACGATCTTTATCATGGAGTATATCCACCTGTTATAAAAGGAGAGCCAGCCTCTATCACTCTGCGGTGATATAACTATGGACATTTTCATGGTAAAAATGTTCAGATGCGACGAAGCGTTTCAAAACGAGTCATGTGTTGACTGTCCTTCCAAAGGAACACTGTCATGATTTGCCTACATTTGCGCGCATAGGAAGCTATACAGGCGCGCACAAGTAGTAATATACAGCAGTTCAGGGTACTTGATAAGTATTTTACAATTCTTGTATTCTTCTTGTAGATCTTCGTAACACACTCCTGGTGATGTGCATGTTAATTTGTAGTTCGTTCTTGGCTCCAGTCTTCTGGCAGTTGTGGATTTACGCCGGAAGTGCAAATGCCAATTTTTTTTTCGCCATTACGCTGGCTTACTCTACCGCCCAGGTATTCATTATCAGTCGAGGCCATGTGGTCAAGAATTTTTCGTGGTCATCTGCGTTGTCCGCGCATTAGGATGTCTGCTGGGGATGCAAACTTTAGTTCTGTTACTACTTTGGTTTTAGTTTTACAACCTTGAATTGAAAACCACTAGAAAAGTTTCTACGATCACAAGCGCATCTAAATACTCATGTCTTAGAACAAAGATCAGCCATGAGAAACATAGATACGTCGAACGTTCGAGCTTCCTTTTTTTGGGGAACGCAATAAAAGCATTAGAAGAGTTGGCTTAACTCAGAATACCCCGCCACTCATTTCATTGAACAAGGATAGCGTCTATTGTGTTATGCCTCGTTCTTCACTTCCTTGTTTAGAGTTTTCCTACTGAACAAAAAAACGTAATTTTCACTTTTCAACATCAAATTCTTCCAACTCTGTCAGTAATACAATCAACGCTTTTTTTTTTAATTGCAGATTCTTCTGACTTCTGATGTTTTCTTCGCTTTTCTGCGACGCGAGTACGATCTTTATCATGGAGTATATCCACCTGTTATAAAAGGAGAGCCAGCCTCTATCACTCTGCGGTGATATAACTATGGACATTTTCATGGTAAAAATGTTCAGATGCGANTCCGCTTTTCCAGAAGTGAGCTTGGGCTGCCTGTGTCTGGATGAGTTGAAGAGAAGAAAAACGGTGTTAAAATTGACGAGGGTCTAAGTTAAGTAGAACCGAATCGTTCTCATCCGTTTGAGAAACCTAGATTGTCGAACAGTTTTCCGTCAAAGTTTTTACTCCAAATGCAAAGTTGTCTGGTTTCATTGTGCTGCTAGACAAGAAACGGGAACTGTTGGCCCATTGCGTTCATATTAGGCGCGGCAAGCGGCTTGAACTCGAAGTATTGGAATAAAACAGCTGAATAAAGGCGAGATAGAGATGTATCATTAACAGTATATGTTATAGTACACTTTTTAAAAGTGCAATTAAGATAAAATAATGAGTTTCCTTAAGTGAAATGGTGTCAAACGTCAGTCTGCTCCAGAACTATAAAAGTTGTTTGTGTATGATCTTCTGAACTATAATTGGCCGAGTCTCAGCGTTTAAATAACGACTGTCCAACACTTCTCACGACGGTTCATTCCTGACACCACGAACTAACTTTTGTTAAACTCTTCTCGACATCAGTTGCTTTGAAAACCAGCACTGAGCGTGTAATGTGCACACTATTGCAGTTCTCCATAGAAAAATTCAAAAACTTAGACGTTTAAGGATTAATATTCTGTTTTTGAAAACAGTCAAAGGTGATTTCTAGAAATCTCTACATGGTTTCTAATTAATGACGATTATTGTCAGAATATCCTCGCTGAAGTTCTCCTTGCTTGAAAGAATGAAGCATTCCTTGCAGATAACCATTCACGTACCCATTCATGTAAGCCTCCTTATCCTCCGACTCTGGTACTGTCTTCAGAACGTGTTCTAGTACTCCTTTGATATAACCCAGTTCATATCCAAGTTTGTATCCTTGCGATACTCTTACGCCAAGTTCTTGCAAAGTTTTCTCCGCTTGTTTCAAAGCCAGCTGCACGATTTCTTTGTCGATATCGCCCAAGCTATTTGCGGTTGCTGGGTCGAAACTAACCACCAAAGTTTCTGGATCCATTTTAGTTTTGGCCAGATTTTGTGTAGCTATGGAGGTAAAATTACATGGTACATCATGATAATCCGAGCAACCTTCTTTTTTCCACTGGCAAAACTATTTAAAAAAAACCAAAAAACTTCAGATAACATTAGAAAAGCACCGGGGAGATAAAGATAACCCAACAAGGATCAACTCTGGCAAACGATGGAAAAAAGAAAATAAAATTTTCAGGTTGAAATCTTCAAAACTTTAGGCCGGAGTTGGATATACAAACCGTGGACTGGGAAGGCAGTAATCAGATTTAGGACAAACGTAGGAACTGAGGACCGAAGTATATTTGCACAACTTTGTTTGTAATGATCCGTTACCAAAGCATCCTGTCACTCCATGCCCCTGTGGAAAATGATAGGCTACTATTTTCTTTTTGTACTTTCGTTAATTATTTACAGCATAATGACATTGAGGATAATGAACATGTTAGATGTCCCTTGTAGCAAGCTGTGGATTCATTTTATAAACTGCTTTGTTTCCTTAAGTTGCGGTTTTAATCACTGATTAACAGAGCGTGGAAAACATCTCGCGCTTTCAGTTTACAAGCAGTTTTAATGCTCTCGATAGTAACGGTCTCGAACTAGTCAAGGCCAATTTCAAATGTTATTCTGTTTTCTTTTCTACCAAAAAGGTTACAAGAAAAGAGGATGAATTAATGAATTCCTTATTTATATTGCGCCCTTTCTATACAATATTCAAAGGCGCAGTACCCCCCATCAATTTGATAGACACTACACAAAGATATACCACAACACCGGGCACTACGCGCCCAACTCTTTTCGATTTTCGAACAGTGTGTGGGTTCTTTTAAAGTCCTACAAATTTTTTTATCACATACAAGGGCTTGTGAGACGGGAGCTCCATTTATCGTCCCTATCCGAGAAGACTAGAAAGTCTAACCATTTGCAGATATTATTACAAAGGCAGCACTTTCTTCTCAGTTATTTTAAGACCCTGAGTGTTGGTCCGGCCGGATTTGAACTCACGACCTCCCGCACAACAGTCGGGCGCTCTACCAATTGAACTAACCGGGAGGATATAAACTCAAGAAGTTTTTACACACTTTACTCTGGCTAAGTAGAGTGTTTTTGTCGATTGAACCCTTTCACTCCCAAGACAGAACTTCTCCTTACGATATCAGTACAAAATGAAGTAGCTAAGTGATGCGAATAAAGAAAATCATCAATTAAGGGACTATAAGTTGAACCGATACCAAATTCTCCATTTCAAAATCTTAAGAATTGTGTGGCACACGGTAGGGAGAATTACTAATTAGAACTTGAGAGTTATAGGGTTAATGAGCGTCAAACTTGTAATTAGTTTGACATTTTTGCGTTTATCCTGTTGTACTGTAAATCGCCAAATCAAGCGTCCCCACTCAAGTGGCCGCTCTTGGAAAGCTAGGGTTAAATCGCCTCTTAATAAGGGGCTTAACCGTATTTTTGTTGTCTGTAATTCAGTATCGTACTGTGTGTGTGTGTCTTTTTTTTTTTGTTTGTTTGTTTGTTTTTTTTTCTTTGTGCCTTTATTTTATATTATAAGGAAAGGGAAAAAGTGTGAGCCGTGTAGCGATTTTTAAAAATAAGGAAAATTGCTTAAATCCTAAGTAACTACAGACAAAGAGAAGAGTATAATCCCTTCCTCCCGGCCACCTGTGCACTGAAATCTTTAACTTGGGTTACTTGGCAAGATGGATGGAGGGCAAAACTATCCTCAGTAGGGTAGTGGTAGTGTATTGCCGTGAATTCTGGATTTCTTTAGTTGAACGCCCAACAACCGAACGTGACACCATGCTAAATAGAAAAAGTACTATGATCGAACAAATAGCTGGAAAAAATAGTATGGCGGTTTATTACAAAAGGCTTTAGTAATTTTATTTTCCGATTTAAGCTAAGATTAAGGGAGCACTTAATTTCGGCTTGCCCTTTTTCACTCTCAGCTAACGGTTAGTCGGGTGAGTGAGTGAGTCGCAGTTGCGCTAATGCGCGCGAAAATTTCTCCCTTTCCAGTTTACCGCAAGCGCTGTCATTTGCATGACTTAAAAGTGAGACAAAACTGGTGACAATTCCCCCATATCGTTATTTCCTGTTTTTGTCTTTGAAATATTCCATAATGATACTTAATAAATATTTCTTCTAGAAATTTGCACTCTGTTTCTTCACGATTGTGTAGATAAGCGAACGTTTGTATAAATAATTCGGTAGTTAATATTAACTTTTCTTATTGGCTACCATTTTCCCTTGTTTGAGATGTAAATAATTTTCCAACATAGTATCGATCTATTCAGTATGATCTGAAAGTTTTACGAAAATACAGGTGTACCCTCTTTTTCGGGGTAAGACCTTAGATCATATATTACATTTTCATCTTGATATGGCGACATTTAAGCTTAATTTATGCGTACTTAAATCGAAATTCGCCTCAAACTGTTTTACCTCAGTGTTTACATTGTACGATTGAGTTCGTCGCTTTCGTCTTCAACCTCTTCCAATACATTATCTACACCATTTCCCGCCTTTAGAAACCGTCCGGCATTAGACAGAGCTGGTGCTGAACCCCATTGGGTTGGCTTAAAAGTCATGGTTTTATTAAACTCCTCTAAATCTTCCTTTTCGCTAATATTCATCAAACCTTGATATGCGCGTGTATACAGCTCCATTGACCGGGCTAACAGCTCCATCTCGCAGACCACAAACTCCGAGAAAATCTGCTTCACATCCCGCATCTTTTGACTTTCGAACTCGTTCATCTGTTCGCGTAAAACCCTCAGCGATCGGTTCGCTTCGCCAGACGCCTTCTGAAATTCAGCCTGAGCTCTGGCGATCCGCGTTCGATCAGTAGATTTCATCTGTGCTTTTTCGAGATTCTCGAATGACTTCACCTCCCTAGTGGAGAGAGACGAACTAACCCTCACGTCGTTCCTCGCCTGCTTGCATTTCGTGTCGTACACGCTGAGTCCTTGAACGAGTTTCTCTTCAATTTTGCTAACCTCTGTGTCTCGTTGATCCTGAATGGCGGACAAACATTCAGACATGGTTGTAAGGCCTTGCTTTAATGAGGGAGATTCTTCTTCCGCATAGGCCGTTATTGTCTTGGCCAGCTCGTCGCCCTTGTTTCGTAATTTCGCTGTTCCTACTGCGTAGCGTTGAAGCATCGCCGCCACCTTGGGAAAATGCGTTTCAACAATGAATATTTTTCTGTCGATAACTTTGGTTTGGTGTTCGGTAGCCTTGACAGAGGCTTTTAAATCTGGAAGCGATCCTGTAAAATTTCGATCTTCTCGGTTGAGGCGAGCCATCGATTTAAAAAGTTATTAAGACAGTGTTACTGTGTTTGTTATGCGAATCTTTCGTTTCAAAAGTCGCGTGCTTGCGTTGTTATCTTCAAATCAGAACAATTAAAAGTCACGGCGACGTCTTCAGTTAAAATTTGCATGTGAAAGAAATTCACCGTTGCGTTACGGATCATGTGCTGTTCTTCAAGCTGGTGCCATATTGATCAGTCAAGAAAAGAAAACTACTCATGAGCTATTTTTAGCGATAACTTTGTCACGCGACTGTTTACAGCTTCCAAAGATCATCTGAAACCAGGTCCTGCTGGTCTTTTACACAGATTCGGAACTTTTAAGTGGAAGATTGTCATCTATGCCGTGTAGCAGAATAATATTTGAGGACTTGGTTTTGACGATGACAAATTCTGTAGGAATGACTGCAACCTCTACTAGAAGTGATTTTCCCTTTTTTCCGCCCTGTTTGTTCCTATTGGATAGATACCTATTACATAATCTGGATTCTAATTGATAAGCACACCTTTAACCGCAGTCACGTGATTATCGATATATCTAACACAATATTAAGCTCATTGGTCTGTTCACGCGTTACTCTATAATAGTATACATCGGAAAATCAATAGAAATATTAGTTTAGCACATAAGTAGTTTTACTCGTGAACTGAGCTGTAGTATTTTGCCTCCACTTTGTATATATTTAGTAATTTTATTATTTACATTTCAACGCTACGCAATAGTCTTTTTTACAGTTGTGGGCTTGGTGGCCAAGTCTTTGAACAGGAGTGAGGCTTAGGGTGACCTTGTTATGATAGAGATGTTGCTGCTTTTCAAATGCAAAATTTTTTTTTGTTATCATGCTAACTAGAAACAGGTCTCTATCACAACAGGGTTACCCTTAGCCTCACTCCTGTTCAAATGCTTGGCCACCAAGCCCACAACTCTAAAAGGGACTATTCAGCCCTTGGCTGCTATGTATTGTTTTGGTTTTGTTTTGGTTTTGTTTCTGCTATGTATTGTTTTGGTGCTTGGCCACCAAGCCCACAACTGTAAAAGGGACTATTCAGCCCTTGGCTGCTATGTATTGTTTTGGTTTTGTTTTGGTTTTGTTTCTGCTATGTATTGTTTTGGTGCTTGGCCACCAAGCCCACAACTGTAAAAGGGACTATTCAGCCCTTGGCTGCTATGTATTGTTTTGGTTTTGTTTTGGTTTTGTTTCTGCTATGTATTGTTTTGGTGCTTGGCCACCAAGCCCACAACTGTAAAAGGGACTATTCAGCCCTTGGCTGCTATGTATTGTTTTGGTTTTGTTTTGGTTTTGTTTCTGCTATGTATTGTTTTGGTGCTTGGCCACCAAGCCCACAACTGTAAAAGGGACTATTCAGCCCTTGGCTGCTATGTATTGTTTTGGTTTTGTTTTGGTTTTGTTTCTGCTATGTATTGTTTTGGTGCTTGGCCACCAAGCCCACAACTGTAAAAGGGACTATTCAGCCCTTGGCTGCTATGTATTGTTTTGGTTTTGTTTTGGTTTTGTTTCTGCTATGTATTGTTTTGGTGCTTGGCCACCAAGCCCACAACTGTAAAAGGGACTATTCAGCCCTTGGCTGCTATGTATTGTTTTGGTTTTGTTTTGGTTTTGTTTCTGCTATGTATTGTTTTGGTGCTTGGCCACCAAGCCCACAACTGTAAAAGGGACTATTCAGCCCTTGGCTGCTATGTATTGTTTTGGTTTTGTTTTGGTTTTGTTTCTGCTATGTATTGTTTTGGTGCTTGGCCACCAAGCCCACAACTGTAAAAGGGACTATTCAGCCCTTGGCTGCTATGTATTGTTTTGGTTTTGTTTTGGTTTTGTTTCTGCTATGTATTGTTTTGGTGCTTGGCCACCAAGCCCACAACTGTAAAAGGGACTATTCAGCCCTTGGCTGCTATGTATTGTTTTGGTTTTGTTTTGGTTTTGTTTCTGCTATGTATTGTTTTGGTGCTTGGCCACCAAGCCCACAACTGTAAAAGGGACTATTCAGCCCTTGGCTGCTATGTATTGTTTTGGTTTTGTTTTGGTTTTGTTTCTGCTATGTATTGTTTTGGTGCTTGGCCACCAAGCCCACAACTGTAAAAGGGACTATTCAGCCCTTGGCTGCTATGTATTGTTTTGGTTTTGTTTTGGTTTTGTTTCTGCTATGTATTGTTTTGGTGCTTGGCCACCAAGCCCACAACTGTAAAAGGGACTATTCAGCCCTTGGCTGCTATGTATTGTTTTGGTTTTGTTTTGGTTTTGTTTCTGCTATGTATTGTTTTGGTGCTTGGCCACCAAGCCCACAACTGTAAAAGGGACTATTCAGCCCTTGGCTGCTATGTATTGTTTTGGTTTTGTTTTGGTTTTGTTTCTGCTATGTATTGTTTTGGTGCTTGGCCACCAAGCCCACAACTGTAAAAGGGACTATTCAGCCCTTGGCTGCTATGTATTGTTTTGGTTTTGTTTTGGTTTTGTTTCTGCTATGTATTGTTTTGGTGCTTGGCCACCAAGCCCACAACTGTAAAAGGGACTATTCAGCCCTTGGCTGCTATGTATTGTTTTGGTTTTGTTTTGGTTTTGTTTCTGCTATGTATTGTTTTGGTGCTTGGCCACCAAGCCCACAACTGTAAAAGGGACTATTCAGCCCTTGGCTGCTATGTATTGTTTTGGTTTTGTTTTGGTTTTGTTTCTGCTATGTATTGTTTTGGTGCTTGGCCACCAAGCCCACAACTGTAAAAGGGACTATTCAGCCCTTGGCTGCTATGTATTGTTTTGGTTTTGTTTTGGTTTTGTTTCTGCTATGTATTGTTTTGGTGCTTGGCCACCAAGCCCACAACTGTAAAAGGGACTATTCAGCCCTTGGCTGCTATGTATTGTTTTGGTTTTGTTTTGGTTTTGTTTCTGCTATGTATTGTTTTGGTGCTTGGCCACCAAGCCCACAACTGTAAAAGGGACTATTCAGCCCTTGGCTGCTATGTATTGTTTTGGTTTTGTTTTGGTTTTGTTTCTGCTATGTATTGTTTTGGTGCTTGGCCACCAAGCCCACAACTGTAAAAGGGACTATTCAGCCCTTGGCTGCTATGTATTGTTTTGGTTTTGTTTTGGTTTTGTTTCTGCTATGTATTGTTTTGGTGCTTGGCCACCAAGCCCACAACTGTAAAAGGGACTATTCAGCCCTTGGCTGCTATGTATTGTTTTGGTTTTGTTTTGGTTTTGTTTCTGCTATGTATTGTTTTGGTGCTTGGCCACCAAGCCCACAACTGTAAAAGGGACTATTCAGCCCTTGGCTGCTATGTATTGTTTTGGTTTTGTTTTGGTTTTGTTTCTGCTATGTATTGTTTTGGTGCTTGGCNGATTGGTTGAACCACAAGAGCAATGATTATACAGACTACATCGGAACTCGCTTGTACAGCATCATTTTGGCTGTTTCGTGATCAAAACTCATCTCATTTTCTTGACCTTTTTTTGATAAAAAATCATTCCATTTGCGTTTTTTTGGAATTAAGTTGATTGCTTGCAAATCATATCTGATCCACGCGAGTCTCTGATTCTCTTGTTTTAAAGGCATTTGTCGGATCGTTGCTGAATTTGATTTAATTAATTGTCGCGTTCCCGATGCCGTAGACACGTGGTGTTGAGCACTGGAGTTCGCCAGAAAAACCGCAATGTTGAACTTTAGACAAGTGGCAGCATCAAACTCTTTATTCACTTAAGCTGGCAGTCTTTGTACAACATAGGCGGTGAAAACTATAGAACGGATGCATGAAGGTTCGATATAAGGAAAACCGAAAGACTACGAAACTAGAAATGATAAAAATTAGGAATATTACAAGCGTAACTTACATCGGATCTTGACTCCGGGGTAGAGAACTCCTAAACTCCGTTCGGCTCCGAAATGGTTTCGCTACAATGATTCCTCGCAACTGAACTACTAGCTAATAGAAGGCGAATTTAGTTCTTACACTTTGACGTAGGGGAAATAGAAATGAACAGTGCTTTGTGTAGCTAGCTTCGAGCGGATATTCGCTAGTCACGGAATAGAAATCAAACAAAGCGCGCTAACAAATTTAATAGAAATTCATTGAAAGTTTCTTAGTGTCTTAGTGCTAAAAACGGAAGAGTTGTTCATAAGTAAAAAAGATTAGAGTTCGTATCCGTAAACGTGACATTAATAGTTTTTAATAGATGTGCCCATGTTCTTAATTGGAATGTATGCTGAAAACAATCCTTCTCACCACAACTGAATTGTTGCATTGTTTTGTTGTATTGAGCCCACACGGAGCTTAGCACGATTATTTTTGTCTCAACATATTGTAAAATTTAATACAATGCAATATCAGAGGGGTGTACAATTACGTAATTTGGCTCGAGTAGAGACTAAATAGAGCAACACCTTAAAACACGACACGGTACCTTTGATGTTAGAGTAAACACAACTGCGGCAAATCTACAGTTAGCCACAACCATAATTTGACGCATACAAACGGTAACAGTTGTCCGATGGCTGGCTGGTTTTGTTTGACTGGTTATATTTCTGGCTTGAAGTACCTGTCGCTCATGATAAACGCTTCTTGAATTATTCAAAGCCAAGCGGATTTGAATTATCCTTGAAGCGACACTCTGTCTTACAAAAAAACAAAAAGCAACCACACCTGCTGTTGCTCAAAACTTCACAAATTTGATATTTTTCCAAGATGACTTCTAAGTTTGGTTCATACAAGCAAGCCATACGTTTTAGCTGCATGCGTTGCTGAAAAAGCAATTTTGGAAGCGGTCTGGCAGTAAAGGTTTGGCGACCACAATTTGTAAATTTAACTAGTGTGCATTGCGAGCAGAGAAAGTGTCCCACGAGTTTGAAAGCATCGAGAGATGAAGGACAGAAATACTCACTATCATCAATAAGGATCTACCAAGAACGCATTTTGAAGAAAAATGGCTTCAAAAGGCGTTCCGCGAAAATCCGTAGCTTTTAGAGAGGATAGCCCGCAAGAAATCTGGTGTAAATATTGTAGTAAGACTTACGAAGAGCCAAAAGTTCTTCCATGCTTACATACGTTTTGCAAGCGGTGTATTGGATTAATTGCGGGAGAAAACGAAAATAATCTGTTTTGTCCAATTTGTCGTTCAGAGGTGGACTTACCCTCGAGAAATCTGGACGATTTACAGCCTAATATAATTGTTATCA